GTTATTAGCTGAAAAATAAATAAATAAAAGCTGTTAATTATATCTATGTCTTTCTGCCATGTCAGGGACCACTCTCACTTCAGACTGACTCTAGAAGACCCCAAGATGTTGCCCAACAATGTTGACCAACATCTGATGTTGACTTTCATTACTCAATAATGAGTAATAACTTATTCAATAAAAAGTCTGTAATTTGTCAATAATAGTCAATAATTCATTCAAGAATAGATTATGGGTGTTTGGTATGGCTCAGTGGCTAAAATGGGTTGGATGTTAGAGAAATTACTTAATTTTCAATTACCTGAATGCACAAATTCCTTCATTTATAGTTAAACTTTAGGAAATCAACTTTTTTTTTCTTGTGAAAAAAATATCAAAATTAACTTTAAAATCCAATCCAGGATTAAGTAACAACTAGCAACACCCTAACTGTACTATGTTCTGTGTTTCCAACAGATGCTACGATGACTTCTAAAAATGGATGTCCCAATAAACACAATAAAAAAATTCAATGATGCATCAAATGTTGTCTGAGTATGTTTTAAGGTAATAACAAATGTGAAATCTGGAAAACAAAGAGAATTCCTGAATCTGTCTTGTGTGCTTTGATGTGTACATAAATTTATTGGAGGTCCTGAAACAACTTTTCTGAGAACACAAAGATTTTTATTTTACCTTTGGCCAAGATGTCAGTTTGAAATCAGGCTGCTTACTGCAAAACCAAGAGGTTTTTTTAAGACGGTCTTCATTTGTATTGTTTTGTCGACTAAGCTAAATGTAATTTCTAAAATATGGATAAATCTGATCTCATCATGCAGCATAAGCAACTGGGTATAGGTGTGAGGACCAAAAGTCTGGTTATGTACTGACTCCTAAATGTGCTTGTTTTCTACTGAAACATGGAGTAGGGTTGACCTTTAAAATGTGAGACAGCTGAGGAAGTTAACCAGTAAACAGAAATACCTGCTCCAGTTGCAGAAATCTGACAGAAACTGACAATCACTCATCTGCAGTGACTGCAGGTTGAACAAGAAAATGTGAAGTTAAAGGAAACCTCCTTTGTCCCAAGGCCAGTTTAAGTATCATTAATATTTTTCTTTCTTTATGAATCGATTGTAACTTTGTTCACATTTTTCAACAACCAAAATGGAATTTGTTTTTTTAATGTTATGGCTAGGTATTAAAAAAAAACTAACATTTAGCTCTCCCCACTACCCAGTTATGTTGCTCTTATTTTGAAATGTAACCGGAAGTTCTGTGTTAAGAGAGTCGAAAAAAGAAGTTATGGAGACGCCGCGGCAGTATACTGGAGTGATGTCGAACCGAGACGCCGCTAATGTCGAACCGGTTAACACCATAGACATAATATGCCTGTGGTTAACACAATCTGCCAATAACGCCTTGTTTTTAGACATAATGTGTCTGTGGTTACGGCATTTTATCGTTCAGCCTTTTTTTTTTCTATCGTTCAGCCTTTTTTTTTCTATCGTCCAATCAGATGTGGCCGTCCAGACACGCCCATTTTTCTATCGTCCAATCAGATGAGGCCGGCCAGAGACGCCCACTTTCCTATAGTCCAATCAGATATGAGCGCCAAGATACGCCTTCCGAATTTGCCTGCAGAGACCCCTTCTTGGAAAACGCTGCACAATGAGAAGAGGTGACCGGACCCTGAGGAGGATTGTGGAGAAGGGCCGATTCCAGACCTTGGGGGACCTGCGGAAGCAGTGGACTGAGTCTGGAGTAGAAACATCCAGAGCCACCGTGCACAGGCGTGTGCAGGAAATGGGCTACAGTTTCCGCATTCCCCAGGTCAAGCCACTTTTGAACCAGAAACAGCGGCAGAAGCGCCTGACCTGGGCTACAGAGAAGCAGCACTGGACTGTTGCTCAGTGGCCCAAAGTACTTTTTTCGGATGAAAGCAAATTTTGCATGTCATTCGGAAATCAAGGTGCCAGATTCTGGAGGAAGACTGGGGAGAAGGAAATGCCAAAATGCCAGAAGTCCAGTGTGAAGCACCCACAGTCAGTGATGGTCTGGGGTGCCATGTCAGCTGCTGGTGTTGGTCCACTGTGTTTTATCAAGGGCAGGGTCAATGTAGCTATCAGGAGATTTTGGAGCACTTCATGCTTCCATCTGCTGAAAAGCTTTATGGAGATACACACATCCATGCATACATACATACACACAACTTCAAAATAACATAAATTCTCACCCTGTACTGAAAACAGTTTCAGTGCCACCAGCTGGTGAGAGGTGGTGACGTCAATTTGAACCCTGCCCACTGGAACCGGTACTGAAAGCATAATGGAAACACAACCTGTACCGTACCGAGTAGAGTAGAGCCGTGCTGTACTGGTACTACAGGTACTAATAGAAAAGGGGCATTGGTGTACCGCTCAGGGGACTACACCAAAGTGACTTGTATATTTTCAGTATTATCCTTGTTGCTGCGAAGAAAGCCATCACAAAGTGCTGGCTCAGAAGAGAAACTCCCACAACAGCTCTAGTGATACAAATAATCGCGCATATAAGATCAGTGGAACTTGTGACTTATTCTCTCCATCTAACAGCACAAGGGGGAAAAATACTGGAAAAAATGGGACAATTTTTCACACTCTGTGATAGACGACAATGTTTTGTAAGAAATGATATGTACCTGTGAAACTCCCTCATGTGTACTTGTTTCTATGTTTTGTTGTTTCTTTTCTGCTTATTTGTTTGTTTGTTTACCTTTCTGTTATATGCACAAATATGTTTCAAATATGAAAAATAAGAAGTATTTAAAAAAAAAAGAAAAAACAGTTTCCAGAGGTTTTTTTTGTGTAATTAGGACCTGAGTACAATTTGATTTTTCTTCCTTTAGGTTGAGGCCATCACTGCCATTTGTCTCATGGAATCAAGAGGGCTGGAAGACAGGACTGTGTTCTGTGCCTCCTGTAGGACACACTCACTCCCTGTTAGCTCTGGCCAACAACACCTGTGTGAAGTCCACATTCATGGAGCTGAGAGACCGCTTTACCAAGCTCTACAAGAAGAAGGTGCACGCCTATTGATAAGATAAGATTAGAACTTTATTGATCCCGCAGGAAATTATTGTGCCAGAGTTTCAGTACAAAGGAACATGCATAAGAATCACAAGATATAAAGACAACAGAGAATATAAAGAATGCCAACAATTAAGTTCAAAATGGGTTCAAAAAATGCCAACAATTAAGTTTTAAACAGATTCTACAAATGCAAGCAATTAAGTTCTAAACAGGTACAGACAGAAATATTAAAGAGTTTGTTGTAATATAGGATTAATTTTATTGTGCTATGTGTAGAAAATGTGAGGAGTTGAAAAGCTTGATAGCCACAGGGAGGAAGGACATCGTGTGGCGTTTTGTGGCGCACATCGATGGTCTCAGTCTATGACTGAAGGTGCTGCGGTAAGAGTCCAGGGTGTCATGCAGGGGGTGTGACGTGTTGTTCAGGATCTGGAGCAGTTTCCTCAGCATCCTCTGCTCAGACACCTCTGTCAGAGAATGCAGTTTCACTCCCAGAACTGAGCCAGCTCTCTTGATGGCTTTATCGAGTCTATCAGCTTTCTTCACCCTGCTGCCCCAGCACACCACAGCTTAGAAGAAGACACTGGAGACCACCAAGCGGTAAAACATCTGCAGCATGGTTCTGCAGACATTAAAGGACCTGAGTCTCCTCAGAAGAAAAAGGCGACTCTGTTCTTTCTTGTAGAGGGCGTTGGTGAGCCTCTGTGTATAAAATGTCAGTACCAATTAGATTCTAAAGAATGATTCTTTCAGATTAGCTGTGTAGAGCTGTAGTAGAGTACTGTATGGGGATGGGTCATTGAGGACACAGGTTGAGTTGTAAACCTTTGATTAGCCTGGTTGTCTAGAAAGGTGCTACATAAGTACAATCTTTTTAATAAATTCATTGTTTGCTTGAAATATTTGAAAAGTGAGGAGTGTATTCTTTCCTTAGGGGTTGTAGTTTCTGATCTGCTGCTTCTGCAACTAATGATGTGTGTATCCCAGCATGAAAAAAACACTAAAGCTCACCTTTGATGAAATAATCACAGGGGTTTTTTTTGTATGTTTTTTGCTGAAGGCTCACTTACATCACTACCTGCATGTAGATGGGATGGAGCAGAGTTTCTTCACAGAAGCTGTTTCTTCCCTCAATGCTCTGATTGAAGAGTATCATCATCTGGATACTACCAAAGCCAATTGGACCCCTGATGCTCCAAGACTCTGCATCGCCTGATAGTATATCTGCTCTGCTCTGTATAGCTATCAAAACAACTTTAACTTGTTTCTTGTTTGTTTTTTTGTTTTTTTACTTTTACATTTATTTATTTATTAATGCCATTTGTTTTCTTGTTAAATTTGCCTCATATCTGTTAAAAGAAAAACAGTATGTGAGAATGCCAGTTAGGTTCAGTTTTTATTATAAAATCTTTTCTGGGCAATTATTAATGTATAAACACCATTTTTCAACATGTTGGCAAACGCTGAAGATAAAATAAAAATAATTTAATTGTTAGCATCATCGGGCTTATATATATGGCTAACAAGTTGAATAAATATCTAACCTATGTTTAACACAAGTTAGCTCAGTTGGTAGAGCTGCCGCCTCTCGTCGAGCAGGTTGCCCTGATTCAAATCTCGGCCCAGGACCTTTCTGCGTGGAGATTGCATGTTCTATTCATGCCTGCGTGGGTTTTCTCCAGGTACTCCGGTTTCCTCCCACTGACCAAAACATTCATGTTAGGCTGATTGATAACTTTTTAATTGCATTTCAGACATAAAGTCCTGGGTGGCACAGAACTTTCTCCAGCTAAAACAGGACAAAACAGAAGTTTTAATCATTGGACCGGAGGTTCAAAAAGAAAATACAATTCAGAAATTACAATCTTTGTCTTTAAAACCTTCCAAAAAAGTAAGAAGCCTGGGGGTTCTTTTTGACTCTGAGCTTACTTTTATTCCACATATCAAACATATAGTCAAAACAGGATTTTACCATCTAAACAATATAGCCAGAGTCCACCCTTTTCTCTCTTTTACTAATACTGAGACTTTGATGCACACTTTTATATCTAGCCGTTTAGACTACTGTAATGCACTGCTTTCTGGTCTCCCTAAGAAAAATTTATCCAGCCTTCAGCTGGTACAAAACTCTGCTGCTCGTGTGCTAACCGAGACCAGAAGGCAGGCTCATGTTACACCTGTTTTAAAATCATTGCATTGGCTCCCTGTGCGTCTCAGAGTTGATTTTAAGATTCTTTTAATGGTTTTTAAATGTCTCAATGGTCTCGCACCATCTTATCTTGCAGAGCTGCTATTATCCTATGAACCCCCGTGGACACTAAGGTCCTCTGGCACTAGACTACTAACAGTTCCAATAGTCAGAACTCACACTTACGGTGAGGCTTCTTTCCAGTACTATGGCCCCCGTCTGTGGAATAGTCTGCCGGAGAACCTGAGGGCCGCAGAGAATGTTGTTGTTTTTAAAAGCAGGCTCAAGACCCATCTTTTTAACTGTATTTCCTGAACTGGTTCATTTCTGTTCAGTCTACATTTTCCATACAATTTAATTTAATTTTATGTATGTGTTGTTTGCTTTTATTTTGTGGGTTTATTGTTTATAATTCTGTATAGCACTTTGAGCTGCTTTTAGTATGAAGGGTGCTTTATAAATAAAATTGATTGATTGATTGATTGATTGATTGATTGATTGATTGATTGATTGATTGATTGATAACTAACTCAGACCTGGGCATTGTATGGCCCCAAGGCCACATGCGGCCTTTTTGGTTGACTCTGACCGACCCCTGCAAGAGGAATTACAAAATAAACAAATTTTCTAATTTTACCTCAATGTGTGGACTAAAGCTGCATTGGTTTTATTTTTAAGTTTTTTTATTCATGTATAAAATGGTGCAATATGTAAATCAAGACCTGCGCAATGCACATGATTGTATTGCTGTCAAGGGTAGGTCACAAGACAACGATAGTCCTCAATGTCCACTCATGCTAAAAAAAGATTCATTCAACCTTTATTTATACAGATTCCGAGTGCACGGTTTTCAACAACAAATTGACTGTTTTCTACAAGTCAAGTCAACTTTATTTATAGAGCACATTTAAAACAGAACCTGTTATCAAAGTGCTTAACAACAACAATCAATGAGAGTAAAATTTAAGAGAAAAAATATATACATATATATACAATACACTAATAATAATAACTGAAGAATAAATAAATAGCATTTAAAACATAGGGTCACAGATAAAAAAAAAAAACACTAGATCAATTTACACTGTGTGAAATGCCTGCGAGAACAGATGTGTTTTAAGCAGAGATTTGAAGTGAGGAAGGGAGGTGGCCTGCCTGATGTTGGGGGGCAGGTTGTTCCAGAGTTTGGGGCCCATGGCTGAAAAAGCCTGATCTCCTCTGAGCTTCTTGTTTTTGGAACAGCCAAAAGCAGCTGATCAGATGATCTCAGGGCCCGAGAGGGAACGTAAGGTTCCAGAAGCTCAGAGAGGTAAAGGGGTGCGAGGCCATTTAGGCATTTAAAGGTCAACAGAAGAATTTTAAAGACTATCCTCGTACGAACATGGAGCCCGTGAAGGGAGGACAGAACTGGAGTAATATGTTCAGATCTACGAGTTCCGATTAAAAGCCGAGCAGCAGCATTCTGGACGAGCTGAAGACGTGAGATGGAGGCCTGGTTGATCCCAGCATACAGTGCATTGCAATAGTCCAGGAGCACAAGTACCACAAATTGACCAGAATCATTTGACATCATAATGTCGTTACAAACCCTCACTAATGCTGTTTCAGTGCTGTGGAGTTGCTTAAAACCATATTGAAAAATCTCGAAGATTCTGTTCTCATTCAAAAACTTGTTTAATTGAATGAAAACTATTTTCGACAGGAAGGGAAGTTTTGAGATTGGTCTGAAATTTGAGCAAGTCGAAGGGTCGAGTCCAGGTTTCTTAATTAACGGATGAACTACTGCATGTTTGAAAACATTGGGAACCACACTTGTCACAATACTATTTACAATAGTAAGAACAGAGGGTCCAATCGTGGGTAGAACTTTTTTGAAAAACGATGCAGGAATGGGGTCAGTGGGGGAACCGGAGGGTTTCATCTGACCAACAACTTTGTTTAGAAATGGGAGTGAAATGGGTTCAAACTGTTTGAAGACAGCTGAGCAAGGGACAACTTTTCACTCAAGTGTGCCCCTACAATATTATATCTTATTACATTATTATTTATCTTATATCTCAGTAAGACATCGTCCGATCTGCACAAAATTTAATGTGCGTGATCAGTGTGCACTTCTAGACACACTGGTGTCGTTATTTAACATTTGACTCCACTGCGCCCCCTAAATTATTCCAACAGTTATATCTCAGTGATACATCATCTAATCTACACCAGATGTTTTGTGTTTCATCAGTGAGCACTTGTAGACACATTTGTATTGTTGATTCATGACTTGACTTAAGCCCGGTCCACTCAGAGAACAAGCTGATGATTAATGTGTGTGTCTTCCAGCTTGGTACTGTGTAAGATATAAGACTATAACTGTATTCACTAACTGTTGATTACCATATATGACATGTTGAAAATCTTTAAAGAAATCCTTTACATTCGCTAGAAAAGAGGAAGTTACAATAACTCAAGTCTGGAAGGTTGGATTTTAGCCAAACTTGTAAGGCTTGCAGCTGGACTCGTATTGATATGGGTGGAAGGTGATTTCAAAGAGTCGGCATATGCACTCCCTAGTGGACACATGCAGAAATGGCATGAGAGCATTCACGATGGCGACTGGGAAGCGTTGCTGGAGCTCCCGCAGTCGCAGGTGATGTTGAAGTTTTGGCAAATGCGCAGGTGAATGAGTGTGGAATAAGCACAAGAGTGTTCGCGATGGCGACTGGGTGGAGTCGCTGGAGCACCCACAGTCGCCGCAAGGCCGGAGCGGTGCTTTGCTGCGAGGGCCTTCAATGTTGCTTGGGAGCTGGTGGGCCCCCCCCTGTCGCCTGTGCATCGGCAGCTCTCGGCATCTGGGGCTGGGTAGTGGGGTGTGTGCTGGCCCGCCCTGGTGGCTACCTGCCAGGGCCTGGGTGCCCTGGCTCTGTCGGGCCTCTGTTGGGGGGTGGTAGGCCTCGGGACTCAGGGCTTGGTGTCCATTGCCGGATCTACTCTGGAGGGGCGTGTTGTCGACGGGGCCTGTGGACTCGTCACTGCAACCTCCTGGGGTTTCTGCATTATGGTTGCTGGGGATTGCCTGGGGCTTCTTTTTGCTTTTCTCTGGGGGTGCGGTTGTCCCTGTTGGGGGAGTCCCAGAGCTCCGGGCTTATGGGCCACTGTCTTTCTGTGGCTCTGGTCTTCCCTATGTTATCATCGTGTCCTGTGGGGATGGGTCTGTGGGTCCCCACATCCACTATTGAACATTTTTATGGAGAAACCTTATAGTGACAAGCATGCTCACACAGGTGTTTAGATTCAGGTGTTTATCAGATACACACTCAGTTGGGTTGTGGTGGCCACTATATACATTTTGTATTACCATGTACTGTATAAAATACTTTCTAATGATGTTATAAGTATCATTATATATGTTTTTTGTTGTTGTGGTTTCTCGGTTTTGTTTTGTTTTTTCTTTCCACAGGTCTAGAGGCAGACTTCGATGATGATGATTTGTGTTCTCTTTATACCTCTCTCTCTCTCCTCTATCCCCATTACCTTCTTTACCTTTTAACCCTTCTCCCACTTGTCTGCTCTGTTTTCTTCTTTGTTTTTCATCCCTGTGTCCTTTACATCTGAAACAAACCCAAAGCAAATTCTAATAAAGTTTTATTTATATATCAAGTGGAGCATTATTTATTTATTTATTGAACCTTTATTTAACCAGATAAAAACCCATTGAGATCAAGACCTTTTTCACAAAAGTCCAAGTCCATAAGAGTCCAAGTGTGTGTGAAGATGGCGCCGCTGTGTCTGGCATGCCGTCCACCTCTGCTGTCTTCGCTACTTGTGTTTTTGTTTTTCTTTGCATTTTTACCTTCAGTATGGTCTCTGTCAAAGCTACTAGCATACGATCACCAGGCACTTTTAAATATTAGAGACTTTATGCAGAACTTATCAACTAACTTTGGCAAACATTCTCAGCTTCCACCACCGCCGCTGCACCTTGCCTCGGTGCCTACCTGTTTATGGCGTTCTCTTGCCACGCTGCCCTCCAGGAGCTG